CGCCGTTAATGTAAATACAAAATGTATGCAAAAAATAAGAAAAACTTGATTTCAATCCGAGTATAAAGACTATGATTGAGAATAACGTATACAATGTTTAAGAAAAATAAGAAAATACTTTTAGCGTTAATAATAATAAGACCTTCACTGAGAAACTCACATATTATTGAAGGAAAGAATAGTCATAGAAATTGTCTTCATTTTGTTTGCAATACATGTAAACAACAGAATCAGTTAACCGGTAGTCGACTATAACTGTTAGTTAATGTATTGAAATCATCGATAATTCATTTGCTTCTAAGCAATCAATCAATACTTTACTAAACATTATATTATATTTTAATTGAGTGTTAAAAGTGTTTCTCATATTTTTTTAGTAATGTCTGAACCGCTCGTTTGTATTTGAATGTCAGCATTAAATTAGTTATTTGTTTTCACAAATTCTTGTGTAAGTTATCAATACTTTTTTTTGTACATTAAATCAATATTTTATTTAGAAATTCATTTAATGTTTATTTTCTTGACATTTATTGAAAGTTAGTATTATATAAGTTATATAACATTTGCAGTCAGTTTTGGTAATTATTATAAAACAACTGTTTGTTAAAACCATTATTAAGTGCTCGCATGGGATAAGTCAACAAAACTCTTAACTCTTTATTATTATTATCATTGCGTTTGACTGCAAACGAAACTTTAAACCCATTCTCAGCTAATATTAAATATATTGTAATCAATATTTCTAAACATTTTAGTAAACATTTGTTAGAATAAAATAAATTTCAAACCAAAAAGTCATAAATATTGCGATAAAGTATTATAATAATACAATTTCAAAACATTATCATAGGATAAAATAGTAATAAAATATACTGAAAACACAGAATAATTTAATATAAGTTATATATTAATAATTGTCTATTAATAAAAAGCATAAAAATTAAACCAATATATGAATGTCTCACGAGATAATGTGTGTGTTTTAAACATTAAAACAACTCCACAGACAAAACCCAAACAAACTGAACAAATTATAGCAATAATTTATGACAAAATGCATGATTTTGAAAATCTAAGCAACTTTTTTGTGTCGATAGAGTTTAAATGTATTTTCACCACCCGTTCAGACCATGGTTTTAATCCATGATTACAAGCCATGTGTATCGTTAAACATATGCTTATTTACACAATTCATATAATATTACCATAACATAATTAGTATAGAAATATTTAGATTCATAAAGCATGGCATAAATTTCAACTCTATATTATTAAATATAATTCACTATTTATAAGTTGAGAGAAAGAGTTGAATTTTGTTTACAATATTGCCGTAAACTAATATCTATAACACTAATACTCAACCGTTTGCTCAATGCCTGTATGTACTGTATACATAAAGCAATTTTAGTTTTAAAATTGTATTAATTTATAAATTACATAAAATGACATTCAAATCCATGCATGTCCAAAACCATGGTACAATAACATCAAAAGTATATTTAGTACTTAAGAAATTAAGTTTTTGGCGATATTTTTTATCACAAATCCTCAAATCATACTACTGTACAATGTATGTCTGCTTTTTATGGAAATTAACTGTAATACAGTATATAAATTAATTTATATTGAGAGTTGTTTTATATAATCATATAAATCCTTAATTTATTAAAATGATTTAAAACGTTATTCAGCATTTTTATGTCATATAAGATTTTAACACTTTATAACTAGTTTTGAAAACATTTTAATTTCAATTTATAATATTTATATTAATACAACATAAATCAGTAACTATTTATACATTTATATAACATATTAAATAATATAAATTAAAAGTTTAACACTTTAAAAAGCACATTATATTTAGAAATAACACAACAAATTGTCTTTAGAATTGTATTCAATTCTGTGATTTAAACCCTAAATCACAATTTCTGACAAAAAGTAAATATATTTTCACAAATAAATACTTTCTATTTTAACAAAACAACAATTTAAATATTTGATTGAATTGACAACTTTTCGGCAAATAAACAACTGCTTGAGTGTTAGTATAAGTGTTAGATTAAATAACATTTACATTATATGTTTATTTTGTGGGACAAACGGTGTTTGGTATCTAATTTATGTGTCTGTTATGCAGTTGTGATTCTTTGCAAATTCTTTTGCCACATATTTATTTTCACTTCAATCTAGGGTTAAGTCAGAGCTTTATAATAATATTTCAATATTTTATTTAATAGTTTTGATAAAAGAAGAGAGAGAGAGAGAGAGAGAGAGAGAGAGAGAGAGAGAATGCTTTAAATTATTTTCTTAACTAATTTTGTTAATATTCTTTATAAAATGCATTCCCTTTGTGTGGTTATACTATTTGATAATCAATTTATAATTAATTATTTCTTTATTTCATGATTTGTCACTTTTAAACTAAATGTTTTCTAAAACATATCTGATATACAGAATATTGTGTTGAGTATTACAAATTGTAATATAAGTTGTACTGTAAATTGAATGATGGGAAATACCAGTATACTGTATACAGAATTTTTCACCATGTCATTCAAAGCGGGATTATTGCAGATGTGCATAATTCAGCATTAATTATATGCAATAAATTTGAAATATACTTTGTTAGCATATATTGAGTAATATAACTAGGTACATTTACAATAACATTAAATGTCAATAATGAGCTACAGAACTGTTCACAGACAAAAAATGCCATTAAAAAGTAATCTAATTCTACTAATTCTAGTGTACATTTAAAAACTGCTAGATATAGTTTGTAATAAAAATTAACATTTATTTTATTTATAATAGCCTTTTGATTATAATTATATATTGATTACTAAATATTGTATAGTATTATTAAATATGCATTAATATAAACAATACTATGTTTTTGTATATTATGTAAATATTGTGGCTTTAATTTGGATATTCTCTAACCATATCAACAATTCTCTGCCTTCAATGTCATTACAATAACACTATTCTTATAGTAGTTTTAAACACTAAATACAACCCAAGGATGACTTCAACTTTTATTTTTTACTTTTTTCTGCTTTTATTTATTTTTTTGATTTTATTTTTATTTATTTTTTCATTAAAGTTATACGACATGTATGTAAAAGTATTGCTAATAAAACTATTATAATGACAGACAGTTATAGAGAGCTATTATATTCAAGGCTTTTCCTGCAATCTCTATATATTTTCTAATATAACTTTGTATCGAAATTTATAATCAATTTAATATTTAAATATATACTCATTGGGCATTCAATCAATTGGGTTTTGTTATTCACAATATGTTTATAATATAATGTTTAGTTAAATCTAATTAAATATAACGCAAACACAGAAAATGTTTAGAATTTAATGTATTGATGAAACAGAAGATGTATTTATAAAATGTAAGTTTTATTGTTTTTATTTTTTAACATATATTGTCGTCAATCCTTGAAAATTATTCTTAACTAATTGAACATAAAATTAAAAATAATTATAATTTCTACGTTAATCTCCTCTCACTATAATTTTAATTAAATTTATTAAATGATAGCATTTAATTAATATATAAATAGTGTATATAAAGTAGTAAATAAATATCATAATGCAATTAATTAGAAATTAATTGCAATTCTACAGAATTTCTTTAAAAATATAAATTTAAATCTTAAATAATTTGTTTTACGTTTTGAATGCCTTTCAATTTGCGTCAGAATTACCACATTTTCACAAACGGTTTGACAAATACTTAAAATAATAAAAATTGTAATGACATTCAAATTCTATACTTTTTTGTTTCGTAAAATAGCGATACGTTTATCATATTTAATACACAAAGTGTTTGAAAAGTTTTCATTTTATTTTTCAGTTCAATTTTTAAGATATTTTAATTTAAACAAAAAACTAAACCTTGGTTTTAATATTTAAATTTTAAATAAATTATATATATATTTTGTACAAATTTTAATTTACAAAAATATGTATTTTAACTCACAATAATAATTTGATTTAACTTATTCTTATAACTAATTTATAAATTTATTTTCAAAATCTTTGATACATATCAAAGATATCGCACTTTATATGAAATCTAAATTTCTTGATATTAATCCAACAATAGTTTACAATATGATTCATAAATTTTGCAATATAACTAATCATGGTATTTTGGCAACACATTTTCGAATTAAAATTTTATGTAAAGATCTAAAAATACAAACAATATTTAACTTTATTTTTATAAATTTACTAAAATTATAGTTATTATAACACGTTCCCTCCCACAGCACTTCACATCTAACTAAACAATTATACTAAACAATTGTATTTAACACTCAAAAAACTGAATTGTTAATTTGTTGATAATTTTAATCTTAATTTATATTAAAACACTTGTATTAACAGTTTTCTAAAAATGTATTTTACCTTTAAAAAATGCTTTTTATATTACAAAATATTCTTAATAATTTTAAACTATAATTTGCTATATTCTGCACAGAATTATACGGAACTTTCCTATAAAATAAATGATCATCACTTAATGTTTTGATTTATCTTAGTTTTATTTAAAACTACACAACAATTGAATTATCCTGGTATTTGCCAATCCATAAGTTCTGCAATTCATATGACTCTTCAGTTATATTTTTATAAACATATTTCAAATGTCATTCTTAGCTTTTTTACCATAATTTTGCTTTAATTACATTAATGCATATACTATTTTGTAAAATAGAAACTTATAATCAGTTATTAATTGTTATTATTTACGAATTTTACAAATATTACCATAAATTAATTCATTTGTGATTTCTGTTTAATAAGTACCTAATCTATGTCTGATAATATAATTTATATGTAATTTATAATCTAAAATAGCATGTAATCTGTCTGACAATTGTAATAATTTAACAATTAATTTTGTTGTAGATAATTTGTAAATTTAGTATTAAGACTAATATCATAACATATTCCTATTTAATATTATGATAAGGTTAGTAACAAAGGGGGGTTAGGGTTGGAGTTTGTGTGGAGAAATCAAACTATCAGTTATATAATAATATAAGGGAAGAGTATATGAAAGAAGTGTTGATCACATGTATAGCCAACCAGAAGACCATAAGCCTAATAGTCTCCAACCAGTTCTTACAGCGGAGCACATGTGCAGTACATAACAAACTCTTTTCGATACACTATTGCCTTTCATCAACTCTTTGCCTCTCATCTCATCTCTCGCTAAATAAATATATTCTTTAAAAACACTTTATTTGAATTCGCAGAAAGACTGTCGACAAGAGATCAGACGTTTGGTATCCACTCATGTCTTTTCCCAAGAAAAAACAAAAAAGCATTCCTTTGGCCGAACAATGTTTGCGGCCAAACAATAGCTCCAATGGTTGCGACAGTGAGGCCATTGATTTAAGCAAATCTGTCAAACATAGCAAACCCGATGACCGCAAACAAACACTCGCTTCCAATGAGACGGAAAACACGAATGACTCCGAGAGCGCCTCCGCCGGCACTACCAAAAAGAAACGCAACCCTTTCTGCCAGACCTGTCAGAATCATGTCGATAAAGATGGTAATCAACTTAAAATTCCAGTCAAAGGTAACAATGATCTAGCTCATTTGCTAGACGTAAACATACAATGTTTAATGTATTATTTTATTTTTAATGTATTATATTATTTGAGGCCACAAAAGGAGGTGCCCGACGAAAGACTGTCCATGTGCGAAGTGTGAGATATCCCGCGATAAGCGCGTTCTTATGGCCAAAACCATAAGTGTTAAGCGAAAACTGAAAGAGGATTTGAATGATCTCGAAAACGGCAAACTAGAAGAGTCTCAAGTGTTTGATGAGCCCGTCTTCAAGAAACAGAGATCCCATCCAAATGAGAGCGCAGGTAATGGAAACCTATATTGCATTATATAATCCATTATTATTTTGTCAATTTATTTGATATAATTAATTTGTTAACGCGATATACAAGTTGTCATAAATATTGCATAATATTATTGCATAATATTTATCAAATATTTTAAGTTTTATATCTAAATTAAGTTTTGCATTATCTTATATAAAATCATGTTTTAATTACTATACGGATCATTAAAATAATTATCACTTAAATAGAGTGGGGGTTGAATATTGTATTGGAATAATAGCCCCTCTATAGTTGTCAAATCTTGCGATTTGTTGGCAAAACTTTGTTAATTATCGCTAAACATTATTAATTAGATAATATTAGCAAATGATTAGAATTCATATGATTTTAGTCGTATTTATTAAAAATTAATTGCATTTTCTGTTTAATTGAAAGTAATTTTTTAATATTTTATAGTATTATTAGATCTATAAGTTATAGGATATATAAGCAACAAATATTAACATAAAAATAAAGTTTTATATGATTTTATGGTCAATTAAATTATTTTACGCCAATCGTTATACATAAAATTATATTAAAATTTAATATAAAAAACATTAATTTTATTGCTATTCAATAAACTATAGGCGCAAAGAAAGACAAAGAGTGCGAATCGGACGATGAAAACAGCAATAGTCGGCAATCAATCAAACCTTTAGATAAAATACAAATCAAAGATATGGTGGACAAGATGTGGCCCAACCTGTTGTCCGTTCAAAACATTGACAAAATATTGTTATGGATTCTGTTGAGAGGAAAGAGTCTCAAAAATTATAACCCAAAAACAATAAGCAATTCAATAGTGAAAGCGTCTGAGAATTTGCCCGAAAGCGAGAGGTTGTCTGCGATGGCCAGCACTGCCTCACCGCTCAAACCGATACCAATGCGATCGGCCATCCCTTCAATCCCTGTTTCCTTTGCTAACCTTAACGGTGGGGAAGGACTACAGTGTTATCGCTATATAGATCCCAATATGTTTTCTAACTTTTATCCCAAACACTATCCGCCAATGGGTTCTAAGTCTCCAATGATTAAATAATTTTTGAGCATTTTTAACATTGCTATTATTACAACTAAATCATAGAATTAATATTAATTTTAAATAATGCTTATGTAGTAATTAATAAATAAACAATTTAAATTGATTTGTAACTATATTTATAACTGCATCATAAGACTTTAAAATAAAATTTATAATAATTAACTAAAATATTTGAATAAATGCCTTAATTTATTGGGGAAATAAATGTTAATCGTTGAAAATGTATTTTATTTAACCATGTTAAAAGTACATTTTAAAAATTGATGGTAAAAATTCCTTTACTCTAAATATAAATTTATTTCAAAAAATAAATAAATTATTTGACAATTTTACAAACTCACTTCAAAAAATCAATTGTTTTATTTAACAAATACGGTAACTATACTTTACTTGATATACACAAAAAGTTAGCAACGTCAATTTAGACAATGTATTCAATGAATTAAACTAGCAACTATTAATATTAATTTTCTGGTAAAGTACAATAAAATGTAAATAATAATTTTGTTTTGATTTTTAGCTTAATATTTTCATTGTACAGTTTACAGTATATACAGTTTACTATTCTTAATAATAAAATAATTCAGAATGGTTTTCTTACAGGAAAAGTATATTAATTATAGTTAAAATACATGTATATTACTAATTGTATCCAATGTTTAGTAAACTTAATGCAGAATTGGATTTGTTTGATATACAGTATAGTGTTATAGAGTCTCATTAGAAGTTACATGAAATTAGGAAAAATTGAGTAAAACTTATATTAATATTTAAAACTTGTGAATCTATATCTGTTTGTAAAGCAATAATAATCATGTAAAACGTGTTTATCTAAGAAATGCAAATACATATATAAATTTTTAATAACTATTTACGATATTATGCAGTATCTGAACACATAGTTTATTGATAATATTTATATTAAGCTAATATTTATATAAAATTTATGATTTTAAAACAACTCCTCATTTAACGAGTAATTTATTGGCATTTTATGTGAGAGAAAAAAGACATTTTAAATAAATTTCGTAATTTTCTTCCACTAAACAAAGAAACTATTGTTTGTTTGCAATAATGTATTCAAAAAATACCAAAAATATTCTCACACAAGAACTCCCTATCTATACATTGGTTTACATTTTCTAATCAAATGTTAGTTTTCGTGTTTGGAAACTATATTTTTGATATTTATATATCAAATAAGTGTTTTTTTTATATTTATTCAGCACTCGATTGGTAGGTATTGTTTTAAAACTACATAACCATATGATTTGCAGTTATTTAAATAGTTGTGCAAAAATAATATAAATTTTGTTTAATATTTAATGATATATTACTGGATATCATAAAATGTTTGATTATCTTACGCGTGGAAAACATGTATTGAATCTATGATTTACTTGTATGGCTATAAACTATTGGTTATTATAATTATTTACATTTAAAATATTGAAATTTTAATGAACAGTGATTTGAATATTAATATAAGTTTTACTCAATTTTTCCTAATTTCATGTAACTTCTAATGAGACTCTATAACACTATACTGTATATCAAACAAATCCAATTCTGCATTAAGTTTACTAAACATTAGAGAGAGAGAGAGAGAGAGAGAGATTGGCATCTGATTTATAATATTAGATTGATTAGATATCAATTTTATAGTAATTTATAATAAAATAATTAACAGTATGATTAAGGTTTGTCTAATTAATTTTTTTATTAACCACAATATTTTCCACAGAATTGCAGTTAAATATTAAATAATGCACTAATACTACTGTATTTGCATTCAAATTAGTTGTCAATTAAATTAGTTATTAGTTTTTACAAACTTTTATTGTGTTTTAAAGTTAATAATTATAATTATACAGAATATAATTTATTGAATTGTAAACTATAATAATTCTTAATAACTTTTAATTTATTGTTGAATAGTTATTAACAATAATAGACTTGTTTTAAATGCCATACAAAAGGTTTTTATATTTACGATGACTTCTCATGTAAAACATTACATAAAAACATAAGAAATTAAGTTAACATTTACGACATGGAAATACAAAAAAAAAGTTTCGCTTTTAATACACAGTATATTGAGTTTGTAGTGAAAGATATCTAACAATTTCCGCTCTCATCAGACAAATAATATGGTTTACAACATAAAAAACAGACAATAATTTCTTTACATATCATAATTCAATCCATATTTTTCAGACGACGTGAACATTAAACATATAATTTATGCCAAAAATAATAGTGAATCCAAATCTTTAAAATTTCAAATTATATAACTTATGTACGCATTCTGTGAATACAAAATACCATGTTTTTTAACGACTAAAGCAATAATAAGCGAATGAGTGCTTTAAAAATACAGTGAATTAAATGCTGACACGAAATGTTTGCAACCCTTTAGATACAAATGTTTGCGAATACACACAATGTTTTGCCCGCAGTTTATGTAACACTAATGTATTTTTATGTACTATTTTTAGGTATGTTTTTATTTCAAAAGTCATAAAACATTCAAAAGACTAATAAAAAATTATTGTAGTCTTAATCCAAACGAACGAAACAATTATTATTTGATAGCAAACCAAAAGGGTTTTTATTGTTTAAAACTTTGTGCACAGAATTCAATGAACACATAATGAATGGGTGAACACAAAACAAAAACATGTATTTAATCAGCGATACATTTGCAGATAAAATAGACATAAATTGTAATTAATTTTTTGCGATAATAAAACTATATATCTGTGTGTTTAGCACTACTGGTTGTACACTATTCACTATATTGTGTACGAGTTTTGGATACACAATATAAATCAAATAAATCGAGAATTTATTGTTTATGGTTTTGTAGACAATAAGTCATTTAAAGGGCTAACTCTTAACTTATCATTTGCTTACTATATGTTTAACTCGTTTCTAAAATATTCAAAAGCTTTGCTTTTTTAAATACATTTAAAACAAACAGAGTTTTAATTTATAAATTGTTTTGTTTATTAAAAATAACATATTATTTAAGCCTTTGAATATAAAATACAATTTTAAACATAAAGTCATATTTCCTGATATAATATTAAAAGTCGGCACAAATAGTCGTAACCACTGGTTAATCGCCGACACACTAAAGGTATACAAATATTGCATTTATTTATTACATGTACTTTTTATTATATAAATAAATTACAATATTTTCAAAACTATAATAAAGTTATGACATTTTAAATAATTTTTGGTACTTTTTTAAAACAATTTATTCCACATTAGAGGTATATTGCAGACAATTGTAAGAATATGTCTAATTGTTGGTCATTTGTCAATATTATAAATATTATACTATTTATAAATTTAATATTACAAAGATTACTAAATAACTGGTAAACCCATCCAAATGCCTACCATATACTGCATAATAAAACCCAAAAATAAAACAAACAAATGTTTTCATTTTCCAGTAATTTTGTTGTAAAATATTCTGTGACTAAAGACACGCTTTTGCATTAAATGATAAGTTTTAATATTTATTTTATATAAACAAATTACATGATTTGGCATAAATAATAAAATTAATTTAATTTTTAATCTAAAATCCAAGTCAAATAATTTGTATTAATTGTTTCATTTAACAACAATTTGTGACATAAATTGAATTTAAAGTCCATTTCCGTATTGAATGTCTAGAGATGTAGTGATCGCCTACTCTTACCCTTGAATTCTATCATAACTTCATATCAAAAGTAACAACTTTTTTGAATACATATCAAGACGTGACACAACTATTTCTTTAATATGACTTTTAATTTATAAATGTTTTTCATTTTTTGTTGCATTAAATGCTCACTTGAATAGTGAGATAGCGACCCATATGTATATCATACCAATAGTCTCCGGTATATAAAGTGTATAAAATTATATCATATACTGTGTATAAAAAATTCATAATTTTCTAAATATTTTTTATGTTTCTCTAAAATACTGTTTTAAAAGAGTTTTCAAAGCCATAAACCATTGAGTGAATGACTTAAAAAAATAATCCAAACTTTAAAAACAGTTTATGGATACAGGAATTCAAGAATATATAAACACATAGATTCCTGAGGCAAACATTTTAGGGTTTAAATCATTTCGGGAGTTAAGAGAGCCTTATCTTAAAGTTATTACAAATTTTATACATTTTCTTATGTAATGCATAATTAATTTCAAGAATTTCCACATTCAGGCACTTAATAGTTGACTAATAAAAGTAACATTTATTATACAAATGTATCAACACATTTATGTTATGATATTTATAGATAAAAATAATAAAAAATGTCTAGACTTTAGACACATATTGCCAACGCGTGTCGTGTTTAAGACAATTGAATTTACGTTAATTTTATGTTTAAAACCCTTTTATGTCGGGAATTATATGTTAAACACAGAGACAGAGCGCTAGTATTGCTTACAGTAAGAGAGAAAAGATGAAGAAAAATAACTGATAAGTAAAATGAAAACACATTCATAAATGAAATGAAAAACTAATGGCTTGATTGGACCAAATGAGTGGTGGTTTGTGTCGCCGTTATATTAATGTAAATAATAAAATGAAAATATAGTATAAAAAATAAGAGAAAACTTGATTTCAATATAAAGAAAACGATTGTGAATAACGTATACAATGTTTAAAGAAGAAAAATAAAAGAAAAACTCTTTTGCGTTAATATTAATGAGTCCTTCAAATGGAGAAAATTGCAGAGATTTTTAGAAGGAAAGCATAAGTCATATAATTGTTTGAAAATATATTTATATTTAATCAACAATTGATATAAACAACAGAATTTGCTTAAAACCGGCACAAAAGTGGTCTCTATTTGAACATTCATTTACAACATATTAATATTAATCCCATTTTCTTGTCGGACAATACAGTAAGTGATTTGTCGATTCTTTTCATACATTTGTGCCAAACATGTCAGACATGTTTAGGAAAACCTGTGAACAGA